GTATCTTATTGTGGTTTTAATTTGCATTCCCTTAAAACTAATGATGTTGAGCGCTTTTCATGTGCTTATTGGCCATTTGTAAATCTTTGTTTGTAAAGTGTCCCAAATATTTGGCGCATTTTTAAATTGGTTTGTTTTCTTTTAATTTTGGGTTTTGGCATTCTTTTGTGTCTTTGAGGTTTCAGTCTTTTGTTAGATACATGTTTGGTGAATATGTTTTCCCAGGCTGTGGTTTGTCTTCATTTACTGAACAGTGACTTTTTGTTGAGCAGACGTTTTTGTTTTTGAGGAAATTTAACTTTTTTTTTTTTGTAAAGGTTATTGCTTTCCATGTCCTGTCTAAGAAACCTTTACCCACTCCAAGTCATGTAGATATTATCTTATGTTTTCATCTAAAAGCTTTATCGTATTCACTTTTATGTTTAAGCCTATAATCCATCTTGCATTCATTTTTGTGTGTGGTGTGAAGTAGGACTTGAGATTTTTTTCACGTGGTGATATTCACTTATTATAATACCATTTGTACTTTCTCCCCCCATTGTATTACTTTGGCACTTTTATCAAAAATAAAATGATTTATGTGGGTTATTTCTGAGCTCTGTCTTCTATTCCACTGCTCGGTTTGCTTTTCTTCATCTATGGAAATAATAGAATCCCTGGGTGGTACAAACTGTTAACACACTTGGCTGCTAACCAAAAAGTTGGAGGTTTGAGTCCACCCAGAGGTGACTTGGGAGAAAGACTTGGTGATCTTCTTCCAAAAAATCAGCCATTGAAAACCTCGTGGAGCACAGTTCTCTCTGCACACATGGGGTCACTGGAATCAACTCAACAGCAACTGGTTAGAGATGGAAATAATCATATGATTTTCTCCTATATCCCGTTAATATAGTGAGTTACATGAATTTTTAAATATTAAACCAACCTTGCATTTTTGGGATAAACCCTAGTTGGTCATGATGCATTGTCCTTTTAGCATATTGCTAAATTCAATTTACTAAAATTTTGTAAGAGTTTTTGCATCTATATTCATGAGGAATATTGGTCTTTAATTTTCTTTGTTGAGTTCTGGTATTTGGGTTATGCTGGCCTCATATGCCAAGTTGGGAAGAGTCATGAGAATGTTTTCTTTGAATGAAAAATCAGAAACACAAAGGAAGTCAACATTAAGCTGTAAGCTGGAAATGAATTGATAGCTTTTCAACTCAGAATGTTCCGGTTTGTGCATTCTGGGATCTGCCATTGGGCTGTGTATTGAGTCACATCCATAGTTAAATGGGTAAACTTCGAGCATTTAGTTTGGACAAAAAGTGCTACATCCTATTCCCACTTTGCACAAAGCTTTTCCTTTAAAATGTTCCTTTTCTTTTTTGATGACATTGAGAAGAAAAACTTAATTAGTAGCTTATTTAGATTTAACAGCTTTACAAAGGAAACTACCACTGTTCTAGCAAAGAAGGAATAACCTAGGCCAATTATTTTAAAGCTTGCATATGGTGTGGACTACTTTCAGAGACACAAAAATTTCCTGGACATCATGTGTTGACTCTTATTTTTATTATAATGTTATTTGAAATTCATAAACATAAAACTATAAGCTCTTATTCTTTGCTTTTGCACAACTATAAAAGTAACACACATACAAGTAAAGTATGACCAAGGCTTTGAAAACAATGAAATGCAAGTTAGTAACAGTAATTTAACACAAGGGATGATATTGTTTTGCCGACACTAATTTGGTGCTTCCACTCTGAATGTAGAACTCTTTCAGCACGGCTTCTTCTGAATTTGGCAGGCCTATATTACTGGATGACGTGTGATGACTTAATTCTTCCGCCATTTTTCTCCATTTGAACTACCAAGAATTGTTTGTTCATATATCACTGTCTACATCATTTAAGAATTAAGTCCACCTCTGTGCCTCTATTCTTTCTTTTTAGCCAGAGATCATAAAGTACAATTTGACACCAGTACAAATGTAAACAAAATTGTGTAGCAACATCCAGCCTTAAGCAGCGAATCCAGGTGGCCCAGAATATGGTCATATTAGTTTATTTTAGGTTATCATCCAAAAACATGTGTAATTTAGAAATCTCCTAGAGAACCCTAGACCTTCAAGAATGTAAATCACTTCCCTAGGCCCCAACAACAACAAGATTAGAAGTCTCAAAAGAGGAGAAGGCTGGAGTATCGTCAAGGCCTGGAGGTCCTGGTCACCAGGTGTCTTGGTTTTCTAGGCTGCCATAACAAAATTCTACAAAGTGGGTGGCTTTAAAGAACAGTTCTGAAGGCTAGAAGTCTGAATTCAGGGCATCAGTAGGGTTATGCTGTCTTTCAGCTCTTGGGGAAGATCATGTCTTGTCTCTTCAGCTTTTGGCAGCCCTGGCATTTCTTGGTGTTCCTTGACTTGTAGACAGATCCCCGCATGGTGTCTACACTCCATGTGTGAGTTTGTTCCCCTCTCTGTCCTCTTTTATGAGACATCTCTCAGAAGGCATTAGGATTAGGACCCACCCTACTCCAGTATGTCTTTGTTAATTTAACTGATAACATTTGCAAGGAAAAACCCTATTTCTCGAAACAAGGTCACATTCACTGATAGAGGGGTTAGGACTTCAACATATCTTTTTGAGAGACACGATTCAATCCATAATGCCACGTCAGGAATGTGGTGACAGCAGCGTATCTACAGAACATAGTGCCTATGACAATTAGTTTTAAATTGCTGAGTAATCTCTCACAGCTGGCAACGGGAAGTGCAATGGCCAATAGAAACTTCTCATTGGACTGCCACCCCCAAGCCACGCCCAGAGCACTTCTCATACCTGCCATACCTTAGATACACCTCTGCATGGTGACTGTTCCACCCCTTGAGTCCTAAGGAGCCGCAGTGTGGAGACAGAGGAGCCAAAGAGAAGTAGGCTTGGAAAGAGTGTGATGATAAGGAGCACCAGATGTGCTTGTTAAACCAGCAGGGATGCATGTGCAGCTGCTAGCTTCCTGCACTGCTTATCTGAGAAGGGCTTGATTGTCTTGTTTTTTGCTTTCCCTATCCAGTTTTTTGGACTCGGATGTGATAGACAGAAACATGAACCTGGCGCACAGTAAAATACTACTTCTGGTGCCCGGGTGTATAGTAATTTTGTAATTTCAGATTTTTGCATATTGGATTTTCTTAAAGCAAGGCACATCTTCTGTAGAACCTGGAGACTGCACATACCCTTTAAATCTATATTAAATTCACTGTCCCATCCGTCAGCCCCACTTGACTCACCTGGACTCTTCTCTCTTGTCATTTCTCTTGCCAGTTGCCATGGTGTCAGTTCCTACTCGCGATGACCTCATGTGTGTCAGGGTAGAACTGTGCTCCATAGGGTTTTCAATGGCTGATTTCTCAGAAGTAGATGGCCAAGCATTTCTTCCAAGGCTCTGCAGGGTGGACTCGAACCTCCAACCTTTCAGTTAGCAGCTGAGCTTGTTAACTGTTTGCACCACCCAGGGAAGTCAATTCTCTAGCGTCCTCTGGTTTCCCAAATGCCTTCCTGGCTTCCATCTAGAGGGAGCACATAAACAGAATGAAAGGGAGTCACAGAATCCATGGAGGGGCTGAGGCAGAGGAGTAACTTTCTGGGCTGGCCAGTTCCACAGCTGTGTGTTGCTCGTCTGCTGTCTCCTGTGGGTCACTGCTACATGGAATTATCCATCTTCCATGGACTACCCTATAACTTGGCTCTGGGAAGTCTTCTCAATCACTTCCTCTCTCTGTAGAAACATCTGTATCATGGGGATGGAACTTACTTTTCTTCTGCCCAGTCTTCTTTTCACTTAGCCGCTGGGCTTGCCCCTGGCCAAAAAAAAAAAATCTTCCTTGACATAACATCAATTCCAACTCATGGTGGCCCCATGTGTTACAAAGTAGAATTATTCCATCTGGTTTTCTTGGCTGTGATCTTTATGGAAGCAGTTTGCTAGGCCTTTCTTCCGTGGTGCCACCGGGTGAGTTTGAACCTCCAACCTTTAGGTTAGCAGCTGATCACAGATGGCTTGCACCACCCAGGCACCTGTTGCCTTGGCCAGCCTGTTCAAACACCCTAGTGGGCTTGGCCTCTACAGTGGCTCTCTCTCCAGACTGCACAGCAGGCAGTCCAGCAGTGGATGGCTCTGCTTCTCTGATGTCTGAGCACAGTGGAGCTGGGCCCAAGGCACCATATGTTTTGTGAGTCCTAAAGCCTACGGTTTGTAAGCCTGTGGAAATGCCATCCAAAACACTAGCTGAATTTTTCTAATCTGAGACTTAAGTACTTGTTGAGCCCACATTCTGTATGTGGTGAGTTACATAGTAATTGAGGTTTGCAAATTTTTTGTAATTTATTCTGGTTTCCTTCCAATGGTCTATGAGCTAGAACTTAAATACAGCTTCGTTGTAGTTGCTTCTTCCTGTTTAGAGAGGCTGGCATAATATTTTGTCTTCTGGGCTCAAATAACCATGTAATTACTCTGTAATCATATAGTAATTAGCATGTACTATATGCATTTATTACATAATTATATTCCTGGAGGATTGCATGGCAATTATACTTGCATTCAGCATATCATTTTATATACTGTATAATGAACAAGTATATAATTTGTTGCTGCTTTCTGTTATCCTAATTTCAGTTTACAAACCCAGAACTGGAAACTTAGCCTTCTGTTGCCTCGTCTGCACGTAGTCAGGCAGGTGCCTGAGCTCCTTTTTGCACACTCAATGCCTCCTGATTACACATCCCAGAGAATACAAGCCGCTTGTGTGTTGCCCTGGACTCCCAGGGCTTGCACTCTTAATACGTTGTCCTTGCCACGAACTCATTAGTTATTAGTTTTGAAACACGGAGGTGAGTTGATTAGAGCTCCCAGCATTGCCAGGTGAATGGCAAGATCTCAGTGTGAACAGAGTAGGTGCGAGCTGCCCGGAGTCTGAGCACTGTGATCACAGCTGCTGCCTTTCTCTCATTTTGCAGTGGAACACATACCCAAGGGGAACAACTGCCTAGACGCTGCCAAGGCCTGCAACCTGGACGACACCTGCAAGAAGTACAGGTCTGCGTACATCACCCCGTGCACCACCAGCACGTCCAATGAAGTCTGCAACCGACGCAAGTGCCACAAGGCCCTCCGGCAGTTCTTTGACAAGGTTCCTGCCAAGCACAGCTATGGGATGCTGTTCTGCTCCTGCCGGGACATCGCCTGCACCGAGCGCAGGCGGCAGACCATCGTGCCCGTGTGCTCCTATGAAGAGAGGGAGAAGCCCAATTGTTTGAATTTGCAGGACTCCTGCAAGACCAATTACATCTGCAGGTAAGCAAGCGCCCAGCAGCAGGGCGATTAATGAGGTGGCCTGGAGAACTTTGGCACCTGCTGCAGTTGCCAAGCACTTGTTCTCTGTATTTGTACCCGGGTGGAGGCCGGAGGGGGAGGGCAATTGATTTTAAGGGATTGGCAAAAATGCTGACCTCTGAATCTGACACGTGGTTCTTCAGCAGCTGTCCAGACTCTCAAGCTGAGGAAGCTTCTGGTCTTTAACACAGGATGCTTCATGAGCGGTACTGGGATGAGGTCAAATAGGACTCAATTTAGTGAGCACAGAAGGTCACCTGTGGGTGAGGTGAGCATGAAGGCTCTTGCTCACTTCTCAAGCCCTGAGGGGCTCCCAGGGGTTGCAAGGGGCTAAGTTCCATCAGGCGGGAAGTTGACGGAGATATGGAGGTTCTTGGCCTTCGGGGTCAGGAAACAGGAAGAGACCACTGAGGAGGACTGAGTTGTGTCCAGCCCTGGAGAGGAGAACTTTGAGAATGCCCGGTTCTGTTCTGAGTCATGTAGCCATCTACCTAGGTAGGAAGAATGGACACCTCCCCACTCAGCCATGCTTCCAGATAATTCCGTGTCCATCAGAAATCCTACTGAGCCTTGACTGTGCTTTTGCAACATTCATTTCCTTTTCCTTTTGAGCCATTTATTGATTTATTTTAATGTTTGAAGTAGTCATGAATACATTCTAGTGTCAAAAAAAATAACCAATGTAGAATTGTGTGGAGTAAAAGGAGACTGTTCCCTTCACCCTGTTCCCGCTCACCCCCAGCCTTCAGGTGACCACAGTTGACAGTGTGACCTTCCAGAACTTAGGCTTGAGTGCAGCTGCTAATGGCAGCAGGTAGATTTTGGTAAGCAGAGACTTGCCATCTCTGGAGACTGAGGCTGTTCTAGGGTCTTATTCAGAAGAGCAGGCTGGATCCTGGGATGGAGATTCAGACGAGGCATCATTTTGGATGACATCTGTACTTTGTCCCCAGGGATCAAAGCCAGGAACCTTCCAAATGGCCATCTCTGACAAAATGGCTATGCACTCAGTGAACCTTAGACAGACGGACAAGCAAAGGAAGGTGTGGATATGCGCTTGTTTTCTTATAGGTCCCCCATCTCTAAAGAGCAGAGAGCAGAAAAAATGTCTGATATTTGCAGATTCTGGTTAGCTGAGTTTCTGGTCAGTTTGAGTTTTATTCTGGTAGAATGAGATCCCATTCTTTCCTTAAACTACCTTTAGTCACCAAGGGGAAATAAAATTCCTCACTATCTGTATAACCCTCCAGCATTGAAGTTTCTCTGGGACTAATGTCCCTCCACCTTTTTTCTTCTTTCTGAGTTGGAAGCAGGGGACCTGCTCTACGAGGAAGAACTCAGATGATCAAGCACGATGTGAACAGAGTTTGTGTCTTGGAAGGAGCCAGATGTTCCAGCAATGCCTCTCCTCCAAGGACTCTTCTCACTTCCAAGCCCCTGGTCCATTGTGACCCTCTTAGCTGTGGACTAGGGCCAGGGATGGCTGTGCTAGAAGGCTCCAGAGGAAGAGGCAGGGCCTCACCATAGCAATGGCCTGGGGCAGACAGACAGGGAGTCCAGGGAACCCCTTGCTGAAGAGCAGGCTGAGGAGCTGGACCCCGGGGAGAAGCTGCAGGAGTCTCACTCAGGGTGCAGGCGTGTGAGGGGCAGAGAGTTCTGAGTCCTCCTCTGAAGACTCCTGGGTCTGAAACCTGGATCCCTGGGCCACTTTCATCTTCAGGCAGAAGGGATGCTTCTTCTGGCTAAAGGACTGGGGTTCCAGGATGTTACTTGGCTTAAGGCAGGACCACCCCTCCCCACCTATACATTCAAATGTCATCCTGCTTACTGATGGGTCCAGGCCAGGAGGCCTGGGCTTTTGGTCCTGTCTTGAGATGGGAAGCTGTAGGGGAGGAAATGGAGCCATGGATGACCCCTCCATCCATTGAGCAATGGGTGAGAGACATCCTGCTGGTGGAACTTTTCCTTCTCTCCTCACAAGCTTTCTCTTACACATGGGGTCCAGAGAAAGTGTGTTACCTCCCCTACACAGGCTGGAAGTCCACCCTTAGTGGTTAATGTGTATTACCTGACCTGCTTCTCAAAAAAACAGAATCCTTAGAGGGTTGGTGTGAATTATTTAGATCAGATTATTTTCGTGCTAAGCTATAGGGGAAAATAACTGGGAGTTTGGGAACTTTGGGCTACTCTAGGGGGTGGCAGGAGGAATCTGCAGGTTACAGGATGGTTTGGATGCTGTGTGGGGGCCCAGACTCGCCTTGTAAGGGGGACATTTGTGCTGAAACATCCCCACTAGCAGAAAGTAGACTCAATTGATGGGCCAGCAAGACAGACCTTGCCTAATAGAGCAGCTGATTTTGCCTGATTATACCAAGGTCTAGGTGCGTTGGACAGGAGCCGCCTTGCAGTGAGATGAAGGTAGGAGGGAGGGTTTGTACTGCTGTCACGTTTCTGGGTCTGGGTAGAACTCAGGCTGTTTGGGAACCCGGGGCTTAAACTGGCCAAGGCGCCGAACCAAGTGAGTTTTGGCTCCCTGTGATTGATGGCTTTTCCACCCTGTCTTGACTCTTTCCTGGGAAGGTGAATCAGCTGCTCCCCCTGGTGTTGCCCAGTTGTTAAGTTCTTTAGCCCAAATGTCTTTCCAGAACGTGAATTTACTACTCAAGGTTACCCTCTTCCCGTCAGATAGAGTAAAGGTAATCGTAGCTGCTAGGCTGGCCAGCAGTGTTTTCTTTCATCCAGTTGTATTAATCTCATCTTTAATTTTCTGCCTTTGATTCTATTCCTGATCAATCCATCTTGGTGAGGTGGTTGTCACTAACGCCCGAGCAGCAGCTGGTAGGAGCTGGAGGTTTGTGTGCGTTTCATGTTACAGTTGCTCTAACCCTTACCCCCTCAGAGGGAGACCCCAACTGACTCGATGACTTAAGGCCTAATCTGAATGTCCCCAAAGGGAAGGGATGGCAAGAGAGAAATTTGCTTCCTAAAAACTGTGTTCTTCGAAAGCGCACACTTTCAAATGCTCACTCCATTTCCATCTCAATGTCAGTGACTGTCAGAGAGCTGCTCCAGCTCATTAAAACTTCCCAGCACTTAATGTTTTCCAACTCGTGGCCTACAGGTTTGCTTCCCCAGGGCCCCACGTGCCTCTGCGCAAAACCCACCTCTCTCCTGCCTTGTGCCTTCAAACAGCTTGAGAAGCTTCTTTAGCTTTTCCTTTTGACTCTATTTTCCTTCTCCTTTTCCCTTTTAGGGAAGCTGACAGCTTCCTTTACTCTTGGGGTGCTTGGAGAGGCGATAGGCTTGACCTTTGGGCCTCCAGGCTTGTCTACAGAAAACATGGAGGTATTGTTAGAAGGGCGTGATGAAATCTCAAAGCCTCACGGTCTTTCCCTGAAGCGTGGAGCCTCCCATGCCAGTTCTCCCCTGTTTGCTCTCCTCAGTGCCTAGAAATATGTCAGGACTGGGTTTGGCTATAATGAAAGCAAATCCTTTTATTCCTGATGCAAATTGTTATATATGCATAATTTAAACTTCCTTTCCCCCAAAATTCTGACATCCAGAATCAGCTTGTCACGCGAACATCGGCACCAAAAGCAAAACGCCAAACCCGTTGCCGTCGAGTTGATTCTGACTCGTGGCCACCTCATGCATTGCAGAGTAGAACTCCTCCATAGGGTTTTCTTGGCTATAATCGCTATAAAAGCAGATTGCCAGGCCTTTCTTCTGTGGTACCACTGAGTGGGCTCGACTGCCAACCTCTAGGCTAGTAGTCAAGCGCAGACTGTTTGCATCAGCGAGGGACCTGAGCAGTGGCTCAGGGTGCCACAAATATGTTCATATTTCTTTTATATTTCTAATTAATCACCATCATAACAAATTTGGATAACACTGTGAAGAACTGGAATTGCAGAACACTTAATTGTGCTCATGCGGAACCTGTACATAGACCAAGAGGCAGTTGTTCAAACAGAACAAATGGATAGTGCATGATTTAAAATCAGGAAACACATGCATCAGGGTTGTATCCTTTCACCATACTTATTCAACCTGTAATCTGAGCAAATAATCTGAGAAGCTGGACTATATGAAGAAGCACACGGCATCAGGATTGGTAGAAAACTCACTAACGACCTACGATATGAAGGTGACACAATCTTGCTTGCTGAAAGTGGAGAGAACTTGAAGCACTTGCTGATAAAGATCAAAGACCACAGCCTTCAGTATGGATTATACCTCAACATAAAGAAAAGAAAAATCTTCACAACTGGACCAGTAAGCAACCTCACGATAAACATAAAAGATTGACATTGTCAAGGATTTCATTTGACTTGGATCCACAATCAACGCCAATAGAAGCAGCAGTCAAGAAATCAAATGACATATGGCATTGGGCAAATCTACTGCAAAAGACCTCTTTAAAGTGTTGAGAAGCAAAGATGTCACTTGGAGGACTAAAGTGCGCCTGGACCAAGTATGATATTTTCAGTCGCCTCATATGCACTCAAAAGCTGGACAATGAATAAGGAAGACTGAAGAAGAACTGATGTCTTTGAATTACGGTGTTGGTGAAGAATATTGAATATACCATGGACTGCCAGAAGAACCAACGAGTCTGTCTTCGAAGAAGTACAGCCAGAGAGCTCCTTGGAAGTGAGGATGGTGAGACTTCATCTCATGTACTTTGGACATGTTATCAGGAGAGACCAGTCCCTGGAGAAGAACATCATGCTTGGTAAAGTTGAGGGTCAGCAAAAAAGAGGAAGATCCTCAACAAGATGGATTGACACAGTGGCTGCAACAATGGGCTCAAACATAACAATGATTGTGAGGATGGCTCAGGACCAGGCAGTGTTTTGTTCTGTTGTACATAGGGTCACTATGAGTTGGAACCGGCTCGACGGCACCTAACAACAACAACAACAACGAATTAATCACCCGGGCACCTCAGCTATTCTTAA